CAAGTCGTATCTCTTGTGCTGGTTATAGAATCCAGGCACAGGTATTTTCTTGCACACAGAGAGATCCTTGATCCCTCTTTGTACCGCGGCTTTCTTGCACAATTCTGCAAGGTACTGATAGGTAAACCGAATCCTTGGCATAACCCCAACTGTATTTCCGGGGTACTTCTTCTCGAATGCCTCCTCTATTTCATTGTCAATAATTGGGGGCTTCTTTCGGAAAAACTTGTCAGATAACTCTTGACTGATGTACATTTGTCCATACTTTGCGGCTAATACTTTATAGTCATTCATATAATCGAACATGTTCTTTATTTCAGAACATGTTAGCCGCTCCAGATCCAAGTTGGCTCGATTTTGTTCATCAGTTGAGTCTTGGTAAGGGTCTTTTAGTAAAATTACCCTTCTGATGGCTGAAAGTACGTTCTGTGGATCGTCGGCGATGTTGATCAATTCTTCATACTCATCTTCGAACGTCATCCTCCACTGGATCCAAATTTTCTTTTCGACTTCCTCTAACAAATTCTCGATAAACAATACCTTTGATTTATTATCCTCAAATTGTTTATCATTCACCAAGTTCAGATTAATTGATTCCCATATGGAAATTATATCATTATAGAGGGAAAAGTCGTTTGACAGAACAAGCATTACACAATGTGCATTTTGTGCGAACGGCAGCGTCCACATGTTATGCTGGTATGAGCGTTTAAAATCCGAGGCTCGTGACCTCAGGTTTTGGAAGCTATTGGAAGAGGAAGAAAAGGGATCCGCCTGCGCTCCAGAAATTGCAGGTGGATACATAATCGGATTTATAACCAGTTCATTAGGAGGTAGATAGGAAGAGGAAACAGACGCATAAGCACTGTCTTCTTTGGCAGCCATCTTCCTGAGACATTGATAGTCTAACTCTGCAAGTTGGTCTTCAATGTTTAGGTAGACCATCTCGGATTCAAAGCACCTGCTTGAAGAAAATAGAAGATTGAATGAGCAGCTTCAGCAAGAGATGGAGAAGCAGTTAGCTGAAAATATGCAAGAGCTTACCCTAAGAGACAAGAGTAAAAATGTTGTCACGTTTGAGGACAATGAAGAAGATGAATTAAAACATTGAAGACCAACTTGCAGAGTTTATAGGAGAAGAAAACTTATAATCGGTAGAACTAACATTTTTTATTTGTCTTTTATAACGATCTCAAAAAATAGGATTATAACAATGCTGCTCTTGTCATTGTACTCTTTAGATCAAGTAACACCACATTGATTTTCGCCATTGTTGACTTCATCTCCAATCAACCAGTTCTTGCATTGTAGCTAGTTGCAATCATTTTTGTTGTCAATTTTTTCAAAATCATTCTGATTCTCATCAGATTTTGCTGCATCTCTGCTCGCACCCCGCAAGCATCATCTCCTATCTTCAATATTGCATTACCAAGATACATATCATCACTATTTGCATCTCTACTAATGATCTTACGATCATCATCATTCGCAAGTCCATCATTTTTTGTCGTTATTTTATTCTCCTTCACAAATCTTGCTCACTCTCCGCTCTCCACTCTCCGCTCTCCGCTCTCCACTCTCCAGCATTTTGTATAACCCAACGCTCCATTCATTGATCTACCCATCTCCTCTTTTGAGCCACCATCCCTTAGAATTCATGAAGATCTATAATGCCCTTGCTACAATGTCATGGTCATGGAGAAAAGATCAAAATGAGGCCCATCACTGACTCCAAGCTTTTTCTAGAGATTCGTTACCTTGACACCATGCCACTTCGTCAAGAATTGCATTTCCATCCAGTGCAGTCACTTTTGAATTCGGTTCACCATTCTTCTTAAAATTGCAACTATTTTCTGGTTATATCAAAGAGACCATTTGGATGAACCTTTATCGTGGGGGCCACCACTTGTTATTTTTTCTATTTGCTTTCCTATTTTTCAATTTTTCCCATCTCATTTGACATACCTAAACTTTTTATGATCTTTGAAATTATCAAGATTCTCAAAAAGCATTGTTTCTAGTTTGTGTAATGTTGGAATCTTGATTAAAAAATTTTTGTGTCGTTAGTTGTCATAATTTTCATGTCATGATGTGGAACATAAACTTAGCCTTTTCTGTGCATGTATATCATAGGAAAAAACCCTCCACTTTTCACATTCGGGCTTGAGATCACCAATGACAGAGATATCCTTTGGAGAGTTGTCGAGAGGAAAGATGTTGATATGACTTATATTCAAGTCATTAAAGATACGTATACAAGAACTTTTACTTGTGTTCGAAGGATTGACCAAATATTTTCCTATTTCTATTGGTTTACATTAGTGATCGACTTGAAGCCCATATCTTTTTGCTTTAGTTATGGTTGGTCTTACTGGACACTTACAGAAGAATGTATCTTGGTGTATACTTTTTGCTGATGATATCCTTCTCGTGGATAAAACGAGAGAAAAAGATCAGGAAAAACTTGAATTATGGATGTCTACCTTGGAGTCTAAAGTTTATCATTTGAGTAGAACTAAAACTAAATACATGGAATGTAGTTTTAGTAGTAGTAGCTCTAGTGACAGAAATGTAACTATGGGTGATCAAAACATTAAAAGGTGTGAATGCTTCAGATATCTCAGGTCTATTGTTCAAAGTGATGGTGATATTGATAGGGATGTTATTAGTAGAGTTCAAGTCGGTTGGTTTAAGTGGAGGAATGCTTTGGGCCTATTGTGTGATAGAAAAGTACAGCTTAGATTGAAAGAATGATTTTATAAGATGATGGTGAGACCTACAATGCTCTATGGCACTGAATGTTGGTCTTTAAAATTAAAAGAGAAGCATAAAACGCATAAAACTAAGTTTAAGTGTTGCCGAGATGAGAATGATTAGGTGGATGAGTGGCTTTAGACTTAGAAGAGTAGACGTTGGTGTGGCTCCAGTGATATCGAGATGAGAATGCTGGTCTATTGTTTAAAATGCGAAATGAATATATCCGTGATAGGGTTGGTGTAGCTCTAGTGGCGGACAAAATTAGAGAGAGTCGTCTTAGATGGTTTGGTCATATTAAACGTTGACCATTTGATGATCCAATTAGAAGAGTAGATGTTCTAGATTCGACTTATGTTAAGAAAGGTAGAGGTAGACCTAGGTTGACTTGAGCATATTGTATAAAAAATTATCTTAATTTATTAGAATTAAATGAATATATGACACTAAATAGGACGCAATGGAGAAAAAGGATTTATGTAGCAGACCCCACTTAGTGGGATAATGGTTTTGTTGTTGTTGTTGTTGTTGTAGTTATAATTTCCATTTGGCTCCATCTTTTCCTTGTTGATAAGGGACTAATTATACAATGTGATCTCTTACAAACAAAAGCCCAAATAATTTCTCTTCTACCACCTCATGTTGATCCTATCATTAGAGTTCGTTGTTCTCGGCCAATCTAACAATTGCCATGGCCTTAGCCAAACGTCTGAGTCTATCAATTTGAACAATTTCAGCAGCTCAAATTCCATCTCCAATAGCAATTCAAATCACAAATCTTTATCACCTCTTGCTTGATCAACCATCACTTGCCCAACTTTGAGGAAATGCCATTTTAAAGGGGTAGGTAATGATAACATAAGTAAGAAGAAGATGATTAATTTTTTCTTTAGATTAATAAGAGTTGTTAATTGGTTAAAATTTAGTCATAAATTAGTAATCATGTACATTTATCAATAGCCTCCACTTGGAGAAAAAAAAAAGAAAATATCAAGCTGAATCTTCCCAAAATTTTGTTATCTTCTTTTATTTCCCTCACCTAATTTCTAGAGTTGCCAGGGAACTCAAATCCCCTATTTATCTAAAATGTCCGGTGCCCTCAGTTTTTGTTTATCTTAATATTAGAATTGGGATTGCAACAACTGCTGTGTAAAATGTATGCAGCTTTGAATGTGTTATCTGGATGCATTAATTTGTCTAATTTGTGCGTCCTCAATCACTTGAAGCTTAGCATGTCCCCTGAAATTTAGACTATACATTGGCTGCCTCCTGTTGTGTTCCTCAATTCGGCAATAATTATGATGCTCTGTGATCTTATTGTAAAATGTATGTTTTATTAGAGCTTAGCATTTTGATTGTCGTAAATCTTCACCATTATTTTAGTTACTCTTATGAACTGTTCAGTAATTTAGATGTCCTTTTTTTCATGGTTTCTTCCTCTAGTGTAACAATTAGAAGTGCTTCATCTACACTTATTTCTGTAAGATTTTGCCTCAATTTTCACCTTTTGTTTACGATACTTTGCAGATTCCTATCTTCTCTAATGTATTTACCTCTTAATTTCATAATTAATTTTGTGAAAGTAATATTAGAAAGAATTAGCTTCTTTGCTGGTGCTCTTTTCTTAAGGCAAATTATCATTGATTTTATTGGTCTATTTCTAATAAATTTATATCAGATGAATTATGTCTCCTAAAACTGAGTAGCCATTTTCCATTCTCCGATTAAGATTAAGTTTAAGTCTCCTTTTCCATAATTGGCAGCACTCTTATTCTATGCAGATTCACCATTTTTTTGCGTCGATTAACCTTAAATTCTCTCTCCGAGTAGGCTATGGATGTAGGCATTTAGTCATCTAAAGAGCGGCTGATGCCACACATTAGATAATTTGGTTTTCAGCGGAGAATAATGTCGTAAAATTTGACATTTTTGGCATTCAATTTTTATATTCTTCTTGAAGAGTGGAGAACCATGATTTTTCCTAATTTGTTTTGATTGATATCAGAATGATGAAAATGGAATCTATTATGAATTTTAGTTCTGATAAAAAACTATGAAAATGGAATATATGTTTTGCATTTGCGTCTTGTAGTATGTTACTCTCAGGAAAGTAATTACTTCTTGTGTGTTTATTCTCACTTATGATAAAAAAACTATGTTCTTGTAGAATATTTTTTTTATATTTAAAAAGAAATATTGATTTTGCTCCCTGATGCTGAGTTCCTTCCATCTCAATTCATTTGCAGAGCTCCAGAAATTCTTATCTAAACATTAAATAATTTATTTAAAATGTTGAGGACGAAGCAGATCAGCCAACTTTCCCAGTGTGCCAGATCCTTTTATCTAAGTGGCCCAATATATGGCACAGCCGATGGCACCCCAACCTGTTCAGAAGAAGACAGACATGCTGCGAGAAGTCAGTCTAGAAATTCCGAAGTCCTACTTCTGCAACAGAAATCCCATGTTTTGTCTTCTCCTGCAACTACTACAGGATCTTCCAGTTTCAGAAATGCATTTGGAACCACCATTACATTAGCTTCGAAGGCTTCATCATTCCCTTCATCATCTTCACAAGTCTACATGCCTATTTCTTCATTAAGATCGGATGTAAATGCGGTAAATGAAAATGTTATGCTGAACATAAATGTTGATGTTTCTAACAAAGATTTGGTTTCTAACAAAGATTTGGCACTCCCTTCAAAGGCCAAAGATGACAAGTTTGACAATGCAGGCAGTCCAACTGCTTGTAAACAAGCTCTTCCTGATCCTATGTGTTTGAAAGCTGACTCTAAGCAGCCAACAACTCTTCCAAAATCCTTCTATGAAAAGCCTCGTTGCCGAGCTAAGTACTCTAAAGTTCAGACGAACTCTCCCAACATCATAGAATGTGGACCTGATTCAGTTTCCACTGTTCACACAGATCCAAGTACTGCACCTGAAAAGTCCGGTACGATGCGAACCATGCAGACCAAACATTTGAATGCTACGAGAACAAAAAAATCCCAATCGAAATCTCAAAACTGGAATGATCATAGACAAACCATTCCAGAGAATGAAACCTTCCATCCTGGTGTCTTCACTTCATCCACAAAATTGACAGGAAGATTCTCAGAAGAAAACATTGCGGTAATGGAATCTAATAATCATGTATCTGCTCATAAATCCTCGCAAAATTTGAAATCTTCAAGGTTTCGCCCTGTGGTTTTACAGTCTCCCAAACGTCCTATCAACCCTCTACTTACAACCGAACACTATTACCATGTATTACAGCAGCAAAAATGGGGTCCCATGGCTGAAGTCTGCCTGAATAATCTCGAACATAAACTCAATGCCTTTCAAGCAAACCAAGTGCTAAAACTATTATGTGATCATTCCATTGCCCTCGGGTTTTTTGGATGGCTGAAAAGGCAACCTGAATTCAAGCACGACGAATATACATACACAACCATGATTGGCGTTCTCGGTAAAGCTAGACAGTTCAACACGATGAGAGAACTTCTACAAGAAATGATTAGCAACGGATTTTCGCCAACTGTCGTCACATATAATCGCATGATCCATGCATACGGCCGTGCCAACTATATTGGCGAGGCTGTCAAAGTTTTCCACGAAATGCAGGAACTCGGTTTTGAGCCCGACCTCGTCACTTACTGCACTCTAATTGATATTCACGCGAAAGCTGGCTTTCTCGACATCGCACTCGATCTCTATCACAGAATGCAATCCGTAGGTCTCTCCCCAGACACTTTCACATACAGTGTGATGGTGAACTGCCTTGGCAAAGGCGGCCAACTCGCTGCCGCTCAGAAGATGTATGATGAAATGATCGAAAATGGTTGTATTCCTAATCTTGTGACATATAACATCATGATAGCTCTGCAAGCTAAAGCAAGGAATTATCCAACTGCTGTTAAACTTTATAGAGACATGCAGTTCGCTGGATTTCATCCTGATCGGGTCACTTACAACATTGTCATGGAAGCTCTTGGTCACTGCGGTCATATTGAGGAAGCAGAAGTTGTGTTTAATGAGATGAGGAAAGACTGTGTCCCAGATGAGCCCGTTTACTGTCTTCTGGTAGATTTATGGGGTAAGGCTGGCAACATCGAGAGAGCTCAGGCATGGTACCGTGCGATGCTTGAGGAGGGTTTGAAGCCGAACACTCCTACATGTAACTCCTTACTGAGTGCCTATCTTCGAGCACACCGGTTCACTGAGGCTCGTGATGTTCTTCTAAACATGCTCTGTGTTGGATTAGTGCCATCCTTACAAACCTATACTCTTCTTCTCAGCGGCTGCAGAGAATCCAACTCAGAGATGGCTTTGTGCTGTGAGTTAATGGCCATCACAGGCCATCCAGCTCATTCCTTCCTCTCATCCCTACCAAATGCAGAGCCAAGCGGGCAGAATGTGAGGGATCATACAAGCCATTTTTTTGATCTGATGCACAGTGAAGACCGGGAAAGTAAGAGGGGACTTGTTGATGCTGTCGTTGATTTCCTTCACAAGTTTGGCCTCAAGGAAGAGGCTGGATTTGTGTGGGAAGTCGCCGCACAACGAAATGTTTATCCCGAGTCGTTGAGGGAGAAAAGTAGAGCGCATTGGCTTATTAATCTTCACGTAATGTCTGAAGGGACGGCGGTGACTGCGTTGTCGAGAACGTTGGCTTGGTTTCAGCGGCGGATATTGGATGCAGGTATGAGGCCCTGGCGGATCGAAATTATAACCGGATGGGGAAGGCGAAGCAGGGTTACTGGTTCTTCTTTGGTTAGGCAGGCTGTGGAGGAACTGCTTCATGTCTTCCAGTTTCCTTTCAGTGCTAATAGCAATTCTGGGTGCTTTGTGGGATGTGGGGAGCCTCTCAATCAATGGCTTTTAAATTCTTACGTGGAGAGAATGCATTTGTTGTAGCTTTTGGGTTCCTAATTTATATGTTATTATGGGTAATTCAAATGGCGGTTTTGTTGTGTTGAACTGTTAGTTTTGAGGTTATTTTGCACGTTGATTTCGCCTAAGTAGTTAAAATGCTTTTACTTAAGTTTAGAGTCTAATTAATGTGGCTTTTAGAGAGATTTTGGTATTGAAACATCATAGTTAAAAATTATAGTGAAATCTATGTATTTGATGTATTTCTCGACTATAAGCCTTTAGATTTTAGTTGTTGGGGATCATTCATCGGTTATTTTGTGTTGGAGTTCTTTGGATTAAAGGAAAAAGTTCATGATGTGGGAAAAAATTTGCGTACGTAAGACGTACGCAGCGTTGCTTGTGTCAGGGTTATAGAGAGGGTATTGGGGGTTATATCTGTGTTATACTTTATGTAACATCCCTGTAACTTATCTGTAACTTACAAATGTATGAAAACAGAATCGTGATCAGGGTTATAGAGAGGGTATTGGGGGTTATATCTGCGTTATACTTTATGTAACATCCCTGTAACTTATCCGTAACTTACAAATGTATGAAAACAGAATCGTGGAACTTACTAGAAGGTACATGGAGGTTACAGAGAATATAACGTGGATATAACTCCCAAATACCCTCTGAATAACCCTGATGTACGCAGTCCTGCGTACGTCTTATATATGCAAATTTTTTCCCATGATGTGACACAATAATTTTACAACGACGTTGCGGAAGACTAATACCATCACAAAGCATTAGAAAAATTGTGGTAATTTTTGCTGCAAAAATTTATGTCTCAAATTTGTAATTGGATCAGTTCATATCTTTTAAAAAAGTTTTGAATTGATTAATTTGAAAGATATTAAATTTGAATATAATTTGTATAATAAAATTGAAGTGATTAAATATATGCTATTTATGAAGAGTTAACTCCAATGTGAAATTTACATGTGTACAACATAAGTTTAATGCATTTACATGTAACATCTAAAATTTGCTATTTACACATTGAATTTTATTTTTAAGTTTAATAAAAAATAGTATTTTTTATGTGAGTTTTATTTAGAGAAAATTAAATTTAATTAATAAGGCAAAAATGTTACAAATGATCCGAGAAAGAACTCGACCAACTCAAAACACAACACAATAAATAAAAAAATAACCAAAGGGTTCTATCTCCATTAAAAAGAAAAAAGAAATACAATTATGAATTGCTCTAAATAATCTCAAAAATGAAGTGAAAAATAAAAGGAAAATATAGGTGAAGTAAATGACGAATAAATCAAATAGACTAGCATAAAGTTATCACGATTATAAGAAATCATCTAATTGTTCATCTCTAAAGAACATGAAAGATAGCCAACTACTTTATTTTCAAAAATAAACATTAAGCATCCATAACTCTTTAGAAGAAAGTCCTCTATCTTGACCTTTGGAATAAATAAAAGATCATTTAATCATAACCTTAGGATGAAAGGTTAATCCATTAACTCGTAAGAAAATCTTCAAACTTTTTCAAGCAAACACTAGATTGAGAGAAATACTATTGCATCAACTGAATTCCTAAAATGAGTTAAAGATGTACATAAAAATACAATCTTTAAGATTGTACAGAAAAATATATATAATCCACAACAGTAAGAGATGCGAGTTGTAGGAGGAATACACCAAACAAACGTGTCAAATAATCAATAAGATCTCCATATGCAAGAAAAAAATGAAATTGAAGATCATTGAAAACTAATAATTAAAAGGTCATATCAATAAGGAATTAAAAATCTGAGACCAAGGAAAGAAGAGTAGACCAAGGGAAAAAACACCTTAAATAAAAATCATTCAAGATAGAAAGACATAAATTTGAGGAGTGGTTAATTAGAATAGAAAATAAAGTTGGCAAAAGAAGCTGAAGGTAAAAGGTAAATACACAACAAAGGTAAGGCAAGTATGAAAAGGTTATCACAGATATAAATGTTGTTAGAATTATAACATAAAAGGAAACAATCAAAATAACAGGTTAAACAAAAAATATAATATTAACAATATAAAGGTAAAAAGATAATGAACTAAATAGGATTCAAGAATCCTAGCCTCAAGAATCCTAGCCTAGAGAACAACAAATGTAACTAGTAATTCATAAAGTGGGCCCTCACTCTTTGGTCAAACCAAGAGAAACGAAAAGGATAGAAATAACATTTACAAAGCATATGAAAAAAATATATAGAAGAATATATAAGTAGTGGCTGACGTTCACATGATTAGAACCAAATGTAATATTGAAAAAGAAGTAATGTCATCCAAAAACACTACTCAAAACTGTCAACCTACAAATGATGAAAAAGACAAAAATCGCTGTAAAAGAAGTTCTCAGATAAACTTACCTACGTAATCTGCAATGGCCTTTACCAGGGACTTGAGCTACCATCAATTCTAAAACAAAATGATAACACAGATACCACCATAATAAGAAAGAGGTGATTGAAATATCCTAATACATTCTTCACCAAGGTATAATGAACTTAATAGGGGATAACTAAAATAAGTTATCATCATCATAATTAACCCTCTTTACCCCAAAACAAACAACAAAGCTAACCAAAGAGTAGTAACCATAATCATAACAACATAAAATAATTTAAAAAATTTGATGTAAGAAAAAATAGTTTTATTCAGAATAATCAAACCCTTTAGTTACAAAGGGCAAATATGAGGCAAAGAACTTCTCAATATAATTAAGTTTAGCATTGGATTCAACTAGCGTTCATCACGAGCTTTACTGAATATAATTAAGTTTAGCATTGGATTCAACTAGCGTTCATCACGAGCTTTACTGAATATAATTAAGTTTAGCATTGGATTCAGCTAACATTCATCACGAGCTTTACTTACGCCAAAGCTATATTTAAGTTTAAATTTAGAGAAAGAAAGAATAGTAGAAATATGTCAAAGCAAGTAAAGTAGGTTAGCATTACATATAGTAGAAACTTTGAAGGAAATGACTAGGTGATTAGCCAGGGTTACATCAAGTTCAGTAAAAAATTTATCAAAACCCAACTTGTCAACCATAAATAGATTATATTTAAGGCATATAGTTTAACATAAATAATTGTGCAAGGGTGAAGAGGACCAACAAAAGACATAATCAGATTACCAATGTGATGTTTAATTAAACACCTAATGTTAAAAGAATCTTTGATGATAAAAGTCATCAATATTAATTTTCACCCACCTCTATTAGGTTTAATCCAAAAAACATTAGTAATATAATTGAGAGGTTGAGCCTCAAGCTTGATATTAAAGAATTCTTCACCCTCTTTACAACTTTTAAATTTTTTTATTGCCAATCAATCCAACTTTATTTAAAAATAAAATCATATATTTTATAAGCTAAAAAATAGGCAAGATTGAGTGATAAGTATGTAAATATAAAAAGGTATTAGGTGTCATATTGTCGGCGCTATTTTTGGTTTAGGGGGTTGCCCGAAAAAAGCTGTCGGTCCCCAGAATCGAAATCTCGTCGCCCTCTTCGGAAGGACGTTTTAATTTACATATATATATATATATATATTTAGTTTTAGAAAAATATGAAATCAAACTGATCCCATATTTTTCATAGTTTAAATGAAAGAGTG